AGTGCTGTACTAATAACAGCAATCAAGCAACCATATACACCTCCAGCTATAAAGTAATTAACAGTATGATGTCAGTTTAAAGACTACGGTCTGCCTGATTCAGGCCATGATCTTTTCAATTACTTGCTTTGCATCTGAGAACTGGATAATAAAGGGTGACAGAGGAAGAATTTATGCCTTTTTGGTGTTGGAGAAGAGTACTGGATATCCCATAGATTGGAAAAAAAAAAACCAAAACAACAAAACAGCAAACTGCAATAGCTATGTCTTGGGAAAAGTGCAACCAGAGCAGTCCTTGAGGCAGGGATGAAGCTTCATCTCTCATACTTTGGACACATTGCTAGAAGAGGATATTGAAAAGAATATCATTCTTGGAAAGGTAGAGGGTCAACCAAAAGAGGAAGACCCCCAATGAGGTGAACTGACACAGTGACTAAAGCCATGAACTCAAGTGTATCAGAGATGATAACAGCGCAGGATAGGACATGATTCCGGTCTGGCCACAATGAGTCATACTCTACATGATAACACCTAACAACAGGGGCCTTGTTGAATGGGAGCAATGGTGGTTCAGTGCTGGAATCCAAATCACCAGCTGCTCCAAGGTCCAAAGGTTGGAAGGTCTCCTCATGTTAGGATTTGTAACCTCAGAAACTCAATGCAGGGTCTTGGGTTGGAATCAACTTGGACATCAGTAGAACAAAAGAGGTCAATTTGATTCCTAGTCAATATATTTCGTGCACAGTCACCTCCCATCTTTCAGTGGAAGCTTGCATTCTGCTAAGATGCTAGGCAGGTTTCAGCAAAGAGTCTAGACTAAGTTGGAATAAGAAAAAAGGCCTGTTGACGTAACTCTGAAAACTTAGACAGCAGATCTTACAAAGGTCAGTACTAGTTGTGCATGGTGTCACTATGAAACAGGTCAACTCTGTGGCTGCTAACCACATCACCTTACTAAGCACAATTATTAATACAAACAGCACTGTATTTTTACCAATTAGTGGTTTTCATTCTGTGTGAGGTATGGGATTTTTTCTCAGAGAGGGAAACCTAAGTTAGTTCCTAATATATGCTATATGTATTATTGTTGTGTGGTATTTAGTCTGTGGACTTTCATAGGCAGTAAATCCCATGGGAGGAGATTGTCCATTCTTCTCCCATGGAGCAGTTGGTGGGTTTGAACCAAGAACCTTTGGAATTTTAGTGTAGCTTCTTATACAAACTGGCTGTGTGTACCTGGGAGAACTCACATGATGCCCCTGGCCTCAGTTTACCTATCTACAAAATCAGTGTTTGATGGCTAGAGGGTTTCTACATTTAAAAGGCCATGATCTGGTACTTCTCTACAAAGTCTGAAATGCCCAGTGTGCAGATGGGCGGGGTTGGGGGGGGGAGATTAACAGAACAGCACAGCATATTACAAAGTTCTTATGATAGGGCTAATTACTATGTTGTTGTTGTTGTTGTTGTTAAGTGCCGCCGAGTCGCAGGCGACTCATAGCGACCCTATGAAGGAGAGTCTTCGACGCTATTACTATGTTGTTGTACTACTAATTACTATATATAAAGAAAATAGATTCTTTACAAAATAGAAATAGTTATCCAAGGTGAAGAAAAGAATTTAAACTCCATCCATTTTATGGGTTAGTTTGTCTCAATTAATTTAAAAATCAACTTATTAACTTTGTCAAAATTTGAAGGATAATTAAAATAAAGAGTAATGCATTCGTGTAACACAGTTCTCTTACCTCCTTTATCTTTTACCTGCACACTGACAGCACTTCCCATCTCTGCTCTTTTCTTCACTCGAGATAAAACCATATGTTGTTGTTGTTAGCTGCCATCATGTCAACTATGACTCAAAGTGACCCTCCGAACAACAGATCTAAACCTTGCCCCATTCTGCGTTGTACTTCCACCTCCTTGAGGATCTTCTCTTTCACTGACTCTCAACCTTCCCCAACATGATGCCTCTCTCCAAGTATTCATTCCTCCTGAAAATATGTTCAAAGTCAGTGAAGTGACTTTTCACCACCCTTGCCTCAAAGGAACACACTGGTTTCATTTCCTTTAAGACAGATTTGTTGGGTCTTTTGGCAATCCACTTAACACTCCTCACCAACACCACCCGTCAAAGGCATCAATTCTTCTGTCATCCCTATTCACTGTCCAACTTTCAGATGTTTAGAAGTAATTGAAAAGATCATGGCCTGGATCAGGTGTTTCATATTCCTTAAACTGACATCCTTGTTCTTTATCACTTTGGAGAGGTCTTTGACAGATTTCCTCAATGTAACATGACTTTTAATTTGCTACCACGGTGTTGATTGTGGGTCCAAGTAAAACGAAATCATTGACTTTAATCCTTTCTCCATCTATCATGATTTTGTCCATTGGTCCAGTGGTGAGGATTTTTGTTTTCCTAATGCTGAGATGTGATCTATATTGAAGGCCATAGGCTTTGATCTTCCACAGTTAGTGCATCAAGTTCTCTCTGCTTCCTGCAAGCAAGGTTGTGTCATTTGTATAAAGTTATGCAGATGATACAACTTTGTAATAAATCCATTAACAATATTACTACACAGGTCAAAGATAAGTGAGTGCTTCTTTGATATTGTGTCATAAAGGGTACCTAACTAACATCACCAGGGGTGGCTGGGGCCTGTTTTGGTTGAAATCTTGATTGCATTTTCATGCTCCTTGCTGTGTGTCTGCCAGACACTTAGCCTGCTCTCTGCCTTTCCAGTTGGGGCAGCTGGATGCATGACACAACAGCCAAAATTTTAACTCTTCATTCTAATTCCTGCTGTTCAGCCCTTGTCTGGCTTTAGCCTTGGCCTTCTGCCAACAGGTTCCTGGCTCATTATCAGGCCCATACAGCCCTGAACCACCCTCAACTGGGCCCAGAAAAACCATTCTTGACACCAAACCTGGCTTGAATGACACAATTACCCTGGGAACTCTCATCTCAGCACAAGTCTCACCTTGTGACCTGGGAGACAGAAGAGACAGATGGAAAACAAGGAAATACCATTTTGGAGGGAATTTAACTTCAGAAACTATGGTCAGATTGCAAAACTTTTTTGCAGCAACAAAATCTAACATGTGCCTTTCCTCTAAAAAACTCAACTCTAAATACTCAAATGAAAAACCTTAATAAATTCATTATTAAAAAATATCATTGTTGTTAAGTTCTGAGGAGTTGACTACGACTCATAGTGATTCTATGAACGATGGATCTGAACCTTGCCCCTCGCCCTGTCTTATATCAATCTTCATCATCTCTGATATACTTGATTAAGCTCATTGTTACAGTTACTTTGTCACTCTACCTGGTCGAGGGTCTTCCTCTCTTATATTGACTTTGCATTTTCCCAAGCATCATGTCTTTTCCCAAGAAATAATACTAGAAAGGAATATAGTTAATGGAAGCAGAGGGGATACTATTTCTCTCTGTCTGTACCAGAGGGCAAATGAAATTTACCCTAAGAAAACACTAAATATTGTATGTTGCTGTTGTTGTTGATTGCCTTCGAGTTGAGCACTCAAAGTGACCCTATGAACAAAAGGCTTGAAGCCCCTCTCCAACTGTCAACATTTATCATAGTTCATTGAGTTTCCAATTGTTCACTCTTAAGGACATATACTACATAAGACTACTATTGTAATAATAGAATAACAACTAGTAAAACAAGAGGGGAAGAGGTAGGGGCAGAGGGGTGAGGATGGATAGGGTGTGAGATCACAAGGTTGCACAATTTGGTGAGTGGAGGGAGGAGGTAAAGAAAATGGAAGGATCTGGTGTGGACCTGAAGAGACAGGGTAATGGTCAGCATTGTCCAATGGTGATTAATTTTGTAAAGCATAATGAATGGGAATGATTGCAAGAAGCACAATGTGAATGAAGAATAGTGTGTATACAAACTTTGTAAGCAAACCAATATAAAATAAAAATTAACACCCACACTCCCACAGACATACACACACAATGCACCACTAGGATCAGCAGAAGCCGACAAAGTGCAATGTTTTTAAGCATACTGGAAAGTGTTATGGGAGAAAATATATTTTATAGGTAAAATTGGAAGTGCACTTGAGGCTGTGATGGGGTTGGGGGAGAAAAGAATTGACTCTTAACAAAATGCTGTTTTTCGGAGAAGCTAGCAAATTCAACGTGTATAACAAGCTAACATTATGTTCTTATGGATAATGCAGTCTTCACTGACTCCTTTTTAAAATGCTCCTTGACCCTATTCCTACTCTTCTGAATCTCAACCAACTCACCGTCCTTTCTGCCGGTGCAGTTTTCCTGCAAGGATGACAGTTTTGGTCCCAGGATGGAGGTGGTGTAGTTTGGGGTAATTAAATGATTTTAGTTTTTATTTTCCCAAAAGGAGCAGGGAGTACAAACGTGGTACACATGTAAAACATAGGCAAATCCACTTGACAACCAAGCACTCTATTTTAAAATTTAAATAAAGCTAAGATTTTCTTGTACCCTAGAGGGAAACTTCATTAAAATCAATTAGTACAAACCTCTAGAGAATATAGACTTTTTTTTGGTTGTGTGTGTGTATGTGTGTGTGTGGTGGTTTTTAAAATTTTCTTTTTAGACTAAGGTGCTCACTATTACCTTTCTTGGGTCCTTGGTGAATGTCAATGCCACACCAGGGGGGTGGTCAAGTGCAAACCAAGGGTCCTGAAGAGAAGAAACTCAAGGAAGCGAACTCCCTGAGTTCTCATCACGGGTATGTAAGTATAATTAGCAGACGAGTATATATTAAGAATGCAGTACAGATAGCTAAAGAGGTTCCAAATAAACTGCACGCATTGCACGCCATGAAGGGCAGGCCAAGTGAGATAAAGTTGGTGACAGGCGCTCCCAGGTGAGGCCTCGGTCCCAGAGCGGAGGCTGGGGCCACCCAGCTGTTGCCGCGCGCCCCTGGTCCCTCCTCCCAGCTGCAGGGGCCTCCCCCCTCTCCCCGCCTGCCCTCCCCACGCCGCTCCCGCCGCCGCCGCCGTCGCCTCCCCTCAACCTCCCGGTCTCTCCCCGCGCTCCTTCCACGGCTCTCGCCCCTTCTCCCTCCGTCCCGTCCTCTCTGCTCCCCTCACCCCGCCTCTCTCCCCCTCCCCCAGCCCCTCCTCTCCTCACCCCACCCTGCCTCCCTCCCTCCCGCTCCCTCTGCCCGCCCGCCCGGCGCTCGCAGAGCCGACACCAGGGGGGCTCTCGATGTAGCACCATGACAGGCATCGCCGCCGCCTCCTTCTTCTCCAATACCTGCCGATTCGGGGGCTGCGGACTCCACTTTCCCACCCTGGCCGACCTCATCGAGCACATCGAGGACAACCACATAGGTAAATGGCCCGGGGGTGGGCGGGGGTGCCCGGCGTGCGAAAACTCCTGGCCAGGCGAGACGCCCCAGAATGGTCAGGGGTGGCCGCGCCGGAGGGGGGCGGCGGCCGGCGGGAGGGCGTGTGCGAGCCCGGGGGCTGGGGGTGGCGGGATGCGGAGGCGCGGGGTGCGGAGAGCTGGGCGTGGGTGGGGGAGGGGGCGCCCTGAGGTGCGGCGGCCGGGCAACCTGGGCGATCC